ATTTGGACTATGCAAGCGAATATGAGTCGTTCATGAGCAACCTCATCAAAAATGAACATGCTGAACGTGTGCCAGTATATGATGTACGGCGTAACTGGTGTGTACCACATCATGGTGTGTACCATAAGAAAAGCAGAAACTGTGAGTTGTGTTCGATTGCGGTGCCAAGCATCAGGGCATCTCATTGAACAATCACTTGTTGAGGGCCCTGAGATGACTAATACACTGATTGGCGTCTTGTGTAGGTTTCGCTTGGAAGGTTATTCAGTACAGTGTGACTTTGAGCAGATGTTTTGTCAATTCAGTGTGGTAGAGAAGCACAGACACTATCTTAGGTTCCTCTGGTGGGACAATGGTGACCTCAAGGATGAGCCTGCTGATTATAGAATGATAGTTCATCTGTTTGGGGCACATCATCCCTTGGTTGTGCAAACTATGGACTTAAGCAGGTATCCAGGGACTATGAGGCTCAGTATGGCTCGGCTGCGGCTAACTTTGTACGCAATGATTTCTACATCGACAACAGATTAACATCTGTACCTACAGTGAGTGAGGCAATAGAACTTAGAGACCAGAAATTGACCTAGTGCAAGACACTTTGCCACTCGAATGTACACTTGGTGTGAGCTGGTGTGTAAAATCTGACATGTTTCAGTTCAGAATAACTCTCAAGAACCAGCCTCTAGTCAGACGCAGTGTGTTATCAACCATTAACTCCATTTACGACCCTCTATGTTTCATTGCTCCAGTGATCTTAGTTGGCAAACAGATTATGCAAGAAACTTGCATGGATCAATTGGATTGGGACAGTCCGTTACCCGCTGCTTTACGCACCAGATGGGAGAAGTGACAGAGTGAATTATTTTACTTGGAGAAGCTGGAAATTCAAAGATGCTATAAGTCCCCACAGTTAGATGAAGTCACAAGAACTACAGCATTTTGGTGATGCAAGTATGACAGGCTACGGCCAGTGCACCTATCTCAGAAGCATAGATGTTGATGACAACATTCATTGTGCCTTTGTCATTGGAAAGGCAAGAGTGTCCACTCAAGTCAGTGACAGTCCCACGCCTTGAACTTACAGCGGCGGTTGTGTCCATTAGAATCAGTCAGTTTCTGTAAAAGGAACTTCATTTTGAGAATAATAATGAAGGTTTCTGGTCTGATCGTAAAGCTGTATTAGAATACATTGCAAATGACTCTGTACGCTATCATTTGTGGCAAATCGGATTTGACAGATCAGGGATCATTCTGGTCCTTACCAGTGGAAACATGTCAAGGGCATAGATAATCCCTGTGCATAAGGGCTTGCATAAGTCATCCATGGCTCAACGACCAAAATTCCTGTCGGACGAAACACTGCCTTTGGAAACTGAAGACTCCGAAGTGAAAAAGATGAAAACTTTAGCGTCCACAGTTAATGGAAGACTTGAATTGTGTCGCTTGAACCATTGCTCAAAATGGAACAAAGCGAAAAAAGCTGTTGCTAATTGCTTAAGACTCAAACAGAAACTTATGCAGTTACTCTGCTTGAAAACTTCAAGTGAGGACAATGACATGAACACCAAATTCAAGAGAGAATCTGTGATTGGTTCACTGACTGTGCATGATATGCACAGGGCTGAATTTGAAATAATTAGACTCGTACAAGCAGAATCATTTCCAGATGAGATGAGAACCCTGGGTGAGAGAAACAAATCTGGAATCTGTGATGACTCGCCTGCGTATGAGAGACAGTACTGTGTGAAAAAAAGAGAACTCTTAAACGTGTGAAAGGAAAAAGCTTACTACATAAACTTGATCCGTATGTGGATTCAGATGGTCTTCTCTGTGTTGGAGGAAGAATTCAACAGAGAAGCCTCTCAGATAACTCGAAACATCCAATAATCCTTCCCAAACGTCATCATATCACTCAACTGATCATTGGGCACTGTCATGAGATGGTTTCACACCAGGGGCGTGGCATCATCACTAATGAGATACACTCACATGGCTTCTGGGTCATTGGTTGTTCATTATCTGTGGCCTTTTACAAAGTGTGTAAAATGCAGGAAAAATCATTCAGGAGCAGAAAATGTCAAATCTGCCAAGTGATAGGATAGCTGAGGCGCACCCATTTTCTTATTGTGGCTTGGATATGTTCGGCCCATTTTTCGTGAAGGAGGGACGTAAGGAATTCAAGCGTTACGGGCCTTTTTTCACGTGCCTTGTATGTCATGCTATACATATTGAAGTCACAAACTCTATGTCTACGGACTCCTTCATCAGTGCATTGAGAAGGTTCGTTGCTGTAAGAGGCCCCATTAGACAACAAAGAAGTGATAAGGGCACCAACTTTGTAGGAGCTAGAAATGAGTTGTATGACTCCGAATCAGTCAAAGGCTTCCTACTGAACAAGGACTGCGACTTAATACCCTTTGTTATGAATCCACCCTGTGCTAGCCACATGGGTGGAGCATGGGAGAGACAAATCTGTACTGTGAGGAATGTGCTCTCTAGCTGGATGGATCAAGTCGGCAAGCAACTGAATGATGAATGTTTGAGAAGGTTAATGGCAGGAGTGATGGCCATAGTGAACAGTCGACCATTGACCGTAGAGAATCTCTATGAACCCAATTCACCTAAACCATTGACACAAAATCATCTTCTGACCACAAAGACTAGCATCATTTTGCCACAACCTGCCATTTTCAGGAAGGGGACATCTATTCTCGCAAACAGTGGCAACGTGTCCAGCATTGTGTTAATGAATTCTGGTACAGATGGAGAGTTCATTCAGAATTTACAAGTTCGTCAGTAGTGGTTGCGACCTCGTAGGACACTCCATAATGGTGATATCATTCTTATAAAGCATGAACGTCTATCTCGCAATCAATCGAAGATTGTCCGTGTTTGTGATACTTACCTTGGTAAGGACAATCTTGTTTGTCGAGTGAAGGTAGCTGTAGGTGACCGAGACCCCACCTCTGATGGGAAAGAACTGGACCAGTTACTTACCCGGAGAGACCAATCCAAAAATTGGTTCTTTTGTTGGAATGCGGTGATGAAAACAATGTAGATCATGCAGAGTGAACTGTGTTTTATTTCAGGTTCATGGACTGTGTTTAATAATAATGTGTGTACTAATAATACTTGTGCTGAACTTGACTGGAGATGAACATTTTCAACTGTTTACTAGTTTAGCTTTAGAATTACTTGTTGTTCTGAGAATGATCTGAGATTCACAGCATAATATAGTTAGTTGAATATAACTGTTGTACTTATGAGCGATGTGATAAGTATTTGTATGATTGTAAACGATAGGAAATTAGAGGTCCTAATTTGGTGGGAGTGGAATGGAAATTTAGATTTTTATTAATATTTTGGTTAGCGGCGAGCGTTGACATTTTTCTCTGATTATCTCCTTTGCATTACTTCTGGTCCGTCTGTGCATCTCGTGAGGACGTGAGTGAGAAATCAGGTATGTGAGTTCTATTGTAAGACAATATTGCTTGGATGACAACATCGTTTTTACGTATCTAACGAAATTCGGAGATGTCATAAACATTCAGCACCGACCAGAAACAACTTGTGAGTACACTGGCATTATATATGCGACAAAACAGTTTATGATATTCAGGGGCTTCATCTGCTGGGACCCTTGGTTAGACACAGCAACTGTCCACTGACTGACACCATCTTCCCAGACTGTTGCTAATGTAATTCAACTTCGAAATTACGCAATCAATTATGTTAATTTTGAATTGACTTGCTGACCTCTTCTCTCACAAGCAATCACGTTCATGGAGTATGACCTCCTATCCTCTTGTATAGGAGCAAGATTCGAAGCTTTCCTCTGCCACTTTCCTTGACTGTTAATAATGGCTACGAGGCTTATGGCAAGATAAAATGGACATTGGTGGAACTGGTACAGGACTTGAAACAGAGAGTGTGCCAGCTGTGCCACCTTCCATCTCAGTGGACAGTTTGCAAGAACTGGATAGCTGGAACTGAAGACAAATATCCTTAGATTTGTAGCCTGTTGGTAATTGGGGGAAAGCTCAGGAAGACCTAAATCTTAACTATCATTTTAAATGGCACCTACCAGTCTAATGTAGTACTGATTTACATTGGTATAGAACATTGTTTTAGATGGCACATTCTAGTCTGTTGTAACACTCATTAACATTCATGTATTCGGTTAAACACGTTATTTTAAGTGACACCTCTCAGCCTGATGTAATGCACATTTATGTATTTGGTCAAAGCAATTTAATTGGGAAAGTTCAATAGCATTGACTGAATCTAGAAATTGGGGTAGTTAAAATATTATGATTGTAGGATGTTTGACCTGAATTTGGCAGGTGGAACCAAAATGATCATGGCCACTATTTTGTTAGTTGTCCTAGTTACAGGTGTTAGAGTTAACAACGGCCACTGTCAAACTGTTCCATAGGTCTTTGTTTTGTGTAAAAAGCCAGGCAAATGGAAATATCTGAGGACAGTATGTGTATTATTTCCAAACGTAAATGACAAACCAGTCTTATTGATTAGAACTATGAGCTACACCATCCTGGAGTCAACGAGTAGTGAGGTTACCGATGCACAAGAGTATAACACTCAGAAACCGTCTGTTACTGAACATTTGGTCTTTACACTCATGTTAATTAAACATTATTTAACATCTGGCCAAAAAGCAATATATCTGATGTATTGGAGATATTATTGATCTTACGCCATACATTTCTTCTGTGATTGACAAAATTGGAAAGTCAACAACAACTGTGGAAATGGATTTGCTATGCATATTTCTATATATGTCACCTCTGTTTATCAGTTTATGCTGTTGGGGAGAGATCACCATCTGCATCAGTTCAGTTCTCATAAGACACCTGGAACAGGGAATATATACATGTGTTATCCGACCTGCTGTTCAACCTGCAAGGAGGCAAAAGAAGTCCTCATATGGGTTAGAAAAGGTTTCGTCAAAATTGCATTCTATTTCCACATGTCTCCACCAGATGCCCCAGTGATCACCTCAATCCCCAGCAACAAGGTTGTGACAGAGAACACCAGTCCCAACATCGACTGTAGCAGTAACATCACACCAGGCAACCCTTCAACAACAAGCTACAGGTGGACAGGTCCAGGTGGTTACAGCAAGGATGGGGCTGTACTTGACAGACCTGTCACCAGGACTCAGGGAGGAGATTACATCTGTACTGCCTCCAACACTGCAGGACTGTCAGCCACAGCTCAGGTCAACATCAATGTGCAGTGTGAGTATATCTTATGTGTTAGAATATTCAAATCAAACCATCCTGTGAATGATGGTAACACAGCTGACTACAAGCTCATAATGTCGGATTTGTTACCAAACATGGTCATCAAAATTTTTATCCATAGATCATAAAATGTGAAAAGAATATTCAGATTTGGGATTCGAATCCCAAATATGAAAAATGATACTCAGATTCGGGAATCAAATACCAAAACCCATGTTAAATAACATCACATTTGAGGTGTCTTTCAGTGGCATTTAGAAGTTGTACATTGATGTCCAAGATATTTTTTAGGAGATAAACTGACGCCGTCGGTTCCAAATGAATTCCCGTGCTTCAAATACTCAATAACATCCGGAAATTCGCCAACACATGATGTTTATCGACATTGTAAACACAAAAGTAAACCAAAAGGTCCACGCACGTTTTTTGTGTCTGCTCTCATTGACATCAAGTACGGGTACAGCAGTGAAATGGCATCAGCCGGACGTTTCGGCTGTCTCCCATGGTAGCATCTGGAACTGCTCATTTGTGACGTCATTCGTACTTTACGTCACAATATGATTTTAATGACGTCATCACAGCTGACGCATAACAATACAATGGTGTGAGTGATGTTTGTATGTATTAATACGTAGAGAATTTCCGGGAATCAAATACCATTTGATCACGTTTTTCAACCAATCAGATTAAACAACACAGTGACTTTTGGTTTACAATATGGATTAAACTTCTTTGTAATTTCTCTCACAACGTTTCGAGACCATTCCAGGTCCCTTCATCAGGTGAACTGGCTGTTAGGACAATGACGTCGTCACTATGACGTTATGAGTTATGACGTCACAATGCAAGTGACATCACAGTACACTAGGGAGAGTACTGTATAAGTGGGTTTGCAGAGTTAATTACATAATGATGAAAATTCATGCTAAATAATAGAGTTGAAAGTTGAATTGTCAAGACACGACAACGGCTAATTACACAAAAGTTACTTGAAAGCAGGCTTTCCAAAAAAAGAATAGTAGACTCGTTTTTCTTTTATCTAAAGTTCATCAAAAGTTCATCAAAAGTTAATCAAGAGGTCCCACGCACTTGGCAGGTATACACCTTGATCACGATTCATTACTGGTTTATGTCTCCTTATCTCCACAGCCTCATGTAGTTTTCTCCGACGCCAGTCGTTATTTCTCGAAAGCACCCTGATATCATTCCACATGATTACATGACTTGGGTTATTTGCCTTGTGCTCCGATATAAATGGACAAAATGATAAGTCAGCTATATCGGAGCACAACATTTGTTGTAGACGACCCGCAAGTCATACACAGTACGACGGCTGCATCCCATTGCTCTTGCGACGTCAATAACTGATCTTCCCGCTTGCAACATGCCAACGGCACGTTCACGTTGCACATTTGACAATCGTGGCATTTCAAGTACCGTTAGAACTGTGGTTTAAAAGTGTTTTTTCAATTCTTGAGGCCAATGCAAACACATGCATATGAAGAAAACGTCGATGCGAAGATCACGTCATTTGCACGAAGAATGGATGGGTTTGAGTAGGTTTTGCTAACGTTTTTCTAGAGTCGACAGATAGGGATCCCATTTCGGATACATAGATGTATCATCAGAGAAAAATTATTCATTATTTTTCAAAATACATTTGTGAAGTTTCTTTTTTGACTGAGTATAAATCAGATTCGGGATTTGAATGCCGAATTTGAACAAAAAAATTCAGATTCGGGATTCGATTCCCCAATGCCTGATCCGAATCTGTTTCTAACAGAAAATTGAGATTGGGGATTCGAATTCCCAATCCCTAATCCGAACTTCATGCTGCTTCTTTAACCCATCTGTCCAGCAGAGTTGTAATCAAAATCCAACTCAGCAATCTTAAGCTTATTGTGTGTAATGAAATATATGTGGACCTTTGCATATGTGTTAGTACACATATGTATGATGAATTTCCCCTTCATGTCGAACAATATAGACACCGGGACAAAAGTTAAGCAACACCCCATGTTTTTCTGTGTGATCACTTTGGAAATTGTGGGAAATTTTAATTATTTTTAAAAACAAAAAAGAAACGTGTGTTTGATAGCAAATGACAAAAGCAAGCTGTGACAGACTGACTTTTATTGATTTGAAATGCATACACTGAAAACATGAAACTTTGCTGAATGGTTCATTTTAACAGACAAATTAACATTAAAATTTTCCTCAATGCAGATAATTTAGGCATGGCACTGACCATATTTGGTGCCAGAAATGTTAAGTCTCCATTTGAAAGTTATTTTAAACAAAGAAAACTTAATATCGTAAGTAGAACATTAATGTCTGCTTGGACCCTCCGTCTCAAGCTGTGTATAATTCTTTGAATGCGCCTCTGAGGCAACCTGTTCCATTCTGCATGAAGTGCTGCTTCCAGCTGAGCCAGATTCTGTACTGGGGTTTCACGGTTCCTGATTTTCCTACCATAGTAAGTCCCAAACGTGCTCGATCGGGTTCAGATCCGGACCAAAAGCTGGCCAAGACAGGGTGGTGATGTCTTCTTGTCTCAATAACTCGGATACCGCTCTGGCTCTGTGTGGTTAATGTAATTAACTAGGTTTGTAATGATGGGAAGACGAACCACTATCCAAGCTTCCTGTTACGTACCTGTATACCTTGAATATGGAGTTGTTTACCATTCACGTTTGTTGGTTGATATGTTTTGTTTTTCAGATGACATCACACAGTGATAGTCTGGTATAGCTTTGTCAAACTATTGGTGTTACGAGTTATTCATGGTTTAATTTACTCATATGTATACTCACTTGGAGTCTGGAACGCGATGAAAATGTGTATCGTATGTTAGGATTAACAATTGTAATATCTTACAAAAACTGAGTGAGGTCTAGTATCATTTGTCAAACTATTATCGCTACGCTAATATATTTCTTGAATTAACATAGCAAAGATTTGTTATTTTCACACTCCATTTCTGATTAAGAAACTGGTCATATTTGATGTACAGGTTATTTTCGCTCATAGGCAGTAGTTTATAATCTTCCAGTTCATGAACAGTTGCTGGTAATTTCCCGCCATGTTGGTATGTTTTTTGTGAGTGAAATATATCAAGGCTACAGCTTCCTGTCTCCAACCGGAGAAAATGAACGAGGAATTCAAGTACTGTCACACGTCCCATTCTACCAGAGGCCATTACATTCTACCAGAGGCCAGTGACAACCGGCCTTATTTGACATTCCCCAGAAATAGGTCAATGAACTATATTCAGCAATTTTTCTGGAATCCCAGCACCCCAAGGACTCTCAAGGAGACAGTACCAAGAACTGTACACTATCAATGTTGCAAATCCCAGTGCTATGCCAAGTGCAGAAGCAGTAGAAAATGACAATCAAACGAATATATCTACCTTACTGACCAATGTACAGAAGTTACAACAACAAGTAGCCAACTTGGCAGAGAAAGTTGAAAATAGACATACCAACCTGTCACAAGACATACAACCTATGCAAGACTATATGCACATTCATCAGGACAGTGTTTCAGAAATACGTTTGCCTCAGACAGGGAATACACAGTATTCAGCCAGACTCGCCCCTGACGACACCTTGTCAACAAGAGGGAACCTCCCAAACCAGATCAGCAACAACACCCAACTGAGTGTTTCCGATGTGGAAATCATGTCGCCAGCGCTTAAGAAACCGATCTGGGAGGATAAGGATATCAATTTAGCTCTTCTAATGATCCCTGATGAAATGTCTACAGCAGCACACTCGTTTGCCGTTCGTGACACATACATGATGCTCAAGTCCCAGATCTCCAGTGGATCGGCGTTCTGTGTCGTGTCCCACAAGTCAAAGTGGGGAGAATTATGGAGTATGATGGACTCTGTTGTCAATAAGAAGATAGTCACCAAAAGGAAGCTACTTAGTGTGCTAGGTCACTTGAACTTCGCCATGCAAATTATACGCCCAAGGCGTTCCATTATCAGCTATTTGCTGAAGTTAACTCATTCAGTGCCAGAGTTGTATCACCATGTGTGTCTGAACAAAGAATGTTGTTTCGACTTGAACATGTGGAGAACGTTTCTCAGCCAGTGGAACGGAAAATCTTTCTTTTTTAACGAAGGGATAGCTTCTCCTGATTTTGAACTGTTTACCGATGCTGCTACATCGGTTGGATCTCGGTGCTTACTTCCAAAGACAATGGTGTTCAAAGAAGTTGCCAACTAGACTGTTTGACGTAGCAGGAAGTAACATGTCTATAGCCTTGTCATCGTTGTTGAGTCAACTGTGGCCTTCACGGAGCATCTGTTTTGTGTGTGACAATATGTCAACTGTTAAAATTTTGAATAAGGGAAGATTTTATCGTAAGGAATGCATCTACTCAGCTACCAGGTTGTGACAATCTTACAGCTGAAGCATCGTCTCGATTACAGATAGAGAAGTTCCAGCAACTGGCTCCCGAAGCACAACCATGCCCAACACCTTGCCTGCATATGGACGAATTGACAATGCCACCGACACAGGGCGAGATCACCTGTGGACACAATTCCTCTCTCCACACATAAGAACTTTATATAACTCAGGCCTAAGAGCGTTTTTGATGTTTATGAGTATGTAAGATGTAATGTGGTATCCTTACCCTATATCAGTGAACAAGTATTACTAATATTTGTGTCACACTGCCATTACAAGCTGAGATTGACTTACTCTATGACAAGAGGGTATCTTAGTGATGTCAGATTTGCGCAGCATCGTCATGGAGTCAACAATCCATGGTGCAACAAGACTTGTTGCGTTTGGAGACAATAATGAGTTATTGAAGAAAATGTCAGGTGTTAAATTGGAACCACGTCTACTAGTGAAAGCAGCGTTCTGTACAAAAACCAGTACAACCACTTCGACCCACGCCAGCATTTGTCGATGGACAATATTGTCTTTTTTGAGGGGTAATTCCAAATTCAACTTAAAACTAAAGGCTTAAAAAAC